GGGATAAATTTGGGGGGGTTTGGGGAGGTTTGGGGGGATTTGGGTGGATTTGGGGTCTTTTGGGGCGTTGGGAGATATTTGGGGGGATTTGGGGGTGAGTTTAGGGGGATTTTGGTGGATTCTGAGGGATTTGGGGGGGATTTGGGAAATTTGGGGAAGTTTTGGGTGGATTTTGGTGGATTCTGAGGGATTTTGAGGTGAATTTTGATGATTTGGGTGATTTTGGGGTGGATTTGGTGGATTTGGGGTGAATTTGGTGGATTTTGGGGTGAGTCTTGATGGATTTGGGTGGTTCTGAGGTGAATTCAGGTGACTTTGGGTGAATTTGGGTGATTTTGGGTGATTCTGGGGTGAATTTGGGAGATTTTAGGTGACTTTGGGGTGAATTCCAGTGATTTTGGGCTGAATTAGGATGATTTTGGGGTGAATTTCGGTGATTTTGGGTGGTTTTGGGCGATTTTGGATGATTTTGGGGTGAATTTCGGTGATTTTGGGTGGTTTTGGGCAATTTTGGATGATTTTGGGGTGAATTTCAGTGATTTTGGGTGGTTTTGGGCAATTTTGGATGATTTTGGGGTGAATTTGGGTGATTTTGGGGTGAATTTGGGTGATTTTGGACGATTTTGGGGTGAATTTTGGTGATTTAGGGGTGAATTTGGGTGATTTTGGGGCCGAATTTGGGTGATTTTGGGTTGATTTTGGATGATTTTGGGTTGATTTTGGCTGATTTGGGCTGAATTTGGGTGATTTTGGGTGATTTTGGGTGATTTTGGGCTGAATTTGGGTGATTTCGGGTGACTGGGCTCAATTTGGGTGATTTTGGCTGATTTTGGGTGATTTTGGGGTGAATCGGGATGATTTTGGCTGATTTTGGGTGATTTTGGGTGACTTTGGGCTCAATTTTGGTGATTTTGGGTGATTTTGGGGTGAATTTGGCTGATTTTTGGTGATTTTGTGTGATTTTGGGGTGAATTTGGCTGATTTTGGGTGACTTTGGGGTGATTTTGAGCTGATTTCGGGGTGAACTTGGATGATTTTGGGTGATTTTGGGTGATTTTGGCTGATTTTGGATGATTTTGGCTGATTTTGGGGTGAATTTGGACGATTTTGGGTGACTTTGGGGTGATTTTCACTGACCCCGCCCCTCCCCCACGCCCAGGTCAGGAGCCGGGCCCCGCCCCGGGGGTGGGGGAGGGGCCGGTGCCCTTCACCCCCTTCAACCTGGAGGAGGAGTTGGGGGAGGGGCGCTTCGACCCCCACGGGCACTTCCTGCCCCTCCCCCAGCGGGAACCGCCCGACCCCTGGCTGGAGACCATCGAGGGGGTGGGGGAGGGGCGGGGACAGGGCTGGGGTGGGGGAGGGGCTGGCGGGGGGAGGGGC